GCGTCAATCGTCATTAGTTGCGTCAATCGTCAATAGTTGCGTCAATCGTCAAAGTTGCGCCTGACGAAACCATTGACTAAACCATTTGCGTCATGCCAAAATCGTTGCGTCACCCATCATTAGTTAGGGTGCGTGTATTAAGGATTATTTTTTTTATATAATATAATATAGAGCTAATATAAGGTCCCGATTTCAGTTCTCGTGAGGTTTTCCCGATCCTGTTTACTTAGTACGTTTTTGAGATATAAGTACCCTGGTGATAATCACCACTGGTTATAGTTAGATTTATTCTATTATATATAGTGATTTATAAATTACATTTAAAGATCTATTTTTTTAGATTAGATTTAAAGTTCTAAATCTGATAATTGATGCATTCAACGAACTAACTTCATATAAATTAAAAAAATAAGTTTACGATTATTAATTATTTTTCATGTTCGTAGTGTGTTAAAATGAGATTAAGCATTCATGAATGATCAAGTTTCTTTATTGCTGTTCACCTATACAATCACCTGATGTTGTCCGATTGAGCGATTTACAACCCGATTTTTAGCGAGTATTACTATTGCTCGATCAATTCAGATGACTCGAAGAAAACATTGGGATTTCCGTTCGCTATATGCCAGTTCTATCAATAAATATCTAATAAATATAGTGTCCACCAGTCAAAGTTCGACCCAATAGCCACTTTATTTCCACTATCCTACAGAACTACACGCCTAAGGAGTAAGTGTTCAACTGTGAGGCACCTAGCATAGCGGACTTCAACGATTTGCTGTCACAAGAATGGATTCTCTAATACCCATTGATGGATAAAGAACAAATACTGAAATACTTGTTCTCATTCGCATGCACGAAGCATATGATTACCCCGCTTGCTTAAAGCTATTTTACAGGTATTCATAACAATCCAATTCCAAACAATCATTAATATCGATACGTATGAATCATGTGTTTATTAACTTTTGGCACTTAATTGAATCAAATTAAACTTTATTTAGATAAATGTGTAATTTTTTAAAGTTACGAAAGAACTTAGATGCAGGTTTGTAAGCAAATACACGTAATACTAAAATGAGACTTCAATATACAATCCATGTTAATGATGCCCAAGAATAATTGGCTTTTTTTTAGCAGCTTCAATATTAAAAATTGACGCATGAAAATAATCACAAGCTTTTTGGTCAGATCTACCATCACATTCAGGCTGTTCGAGAACAAAGTTGCCAGTTGTTTTTTTACCAATAAATCGTGGATGACATTTCTCTTTCTCACACCGATTTTCATAATTTGAATATAAATCATAAAATTCGGGAAATTTTGATTCTTTGGCTTTTTTGGTGTCTTTAACTATTTTGGCAAGTACTTTATAGAATTTATTTTTCTCGAGCGTTTTTTTGTCAATTTTACGACGTTGGAATATTTTTTCATCTTGATGCTCGATTAAAGAGAGTGTATTGAATTCAAAGTCGGGTAAAGTAGAATATATCTTGTCTTTCAAATGATATCCATAAAGACACGTATAAAGTTTTTTTTCAATATTGCATCGACTAAAATGATGTCCGATGACCAAATAATCGGAATTTAAGTCAAATACTGAAGGTATCCCATGTACCACTAGTTTATCATCCTCGATTATGTTAATAGGTTCTATTTTGTTACTAGAACTTTGAACAATTTTGTTATTAGAACTTTGAACAATTTTGATACTAGAGCTTTGAACACAAATATTAAAATTCAAAAATTTAGGATCTAAAGTTGGATTATATCCAATAACTATCCAACCTATCTTAAGATGACATTCTTTTGTTGGTCAGAACTGGATTGAATGCGGTTAATTACCATCTTTGTAATAAGGGAGTGTGAACGATTTGGAATATATAGTCGGAAAGCGAATACATCATTATTATCTTCCATGTTATGTATCGTGGCGAAAACTTGAGAATCAATATCCGAATTTGAGAGAACTTCATTTATATTATCAGGAATTTCCAAATCAACTAACATTGGTTTATAGGGGTCATTCACATCCACATCGATAGAACGTTCCATAACATTAGAGTAAATAACCATTTTTCCGAGTATTTTAAAAACATCATCTTTTAATTCCTTATCCAGAAGTTCAAATATGCATTTTGGATATTGAAATTCTATCGGTTCCCAATACTTAGAATCTGTTAATGAAGATATCCAATCTTCTTCATCGCCTTTTATTTTGCTTTATCATCATCACCAAAAATAATTGAGACTTGTTCCCTTATCATGTTTTCTTCATTAAAATTATTATCCGATTGGTATTGAAGTCCCAAGCCTTGTCCGTTTGCATCAAAGGCTGTTGAAAATCCGTTCTTCTTTTTTCGTGAATTTCCGATCTTATATGTTACATCTTTGTAATCAAATCTGCCGCCAAATAGGATGACAGTGGGAATAAAATGACCAAATTTTTTTAAAATGTCTTTTAACATTATTGGATTTTTTGATTTAATAGCTTCTCTTACTGAATCCTCAAAATTTGTGGTAGACTTAAGATGGTGCTCTTTAATGATCATTCTTGCTTTAGCACAATTCCTAAATTGTATTTTTGAGGACATTTCACAATGATTCTGGTGAGTCTTTTCTTTTTCTACCGAAGCGTCTAACTTAATCATGGACTGGATTCCTATATTCGCTTTTAGAAGCAAGCTTTTATTTTGAGTCAACTCTGCAATGGATGAAATTTCCTGTTCTCTTATTTGATATTTTCCAGAAGAGAATAGCTCAAATTCACAATCTTCAACAATGAAAGCTTGTTCTGTGTTTACGTCATCTTTGTTTTCTCCATAAATGCGCCCGTGCCCAAGCTTGTACATATCTTTTAATTCATGCTTAAGGCTTTTTTTTAAATAGATTACATAGCTTTCTTCATTGTCTTTTTCTAATATTTCTTCCAATTCAAATTGTTCTTCATCATCAATAACAATTAAAGCGCCATTTTTTTTTGTGAAAACAACGCTGTTTGTCATTTGAAATTCATTGTGGTTTTTAAGTATTTTTCGCACTTTACTTAATCTCTCTTTCTTGTCTAATTTCTTTACAATTCTAACTTCATCAATTTGGATAGTTACTTGTATCTTGGGAGTAGAAGACTCATTTATAGTCTCACTTGTAGCCTTATTTGTAATAAAATGTTTAATTGTATACTTCACCTTCTGTATTTTCAGAATTAAAAAAAAAAGTAAATCGTGAATTTATTAAACGGCGATCTATGCTACATATTATGCTTGCCGCTTATTGTTACACGCGTAACAGTTACACATTACCAGAAGTTTATTTGGTTAAACAGAATTTTTAATGTTAAAGTACGTACGTACGTACGTACCGTAAACTGCCGTATACAAGATCCTCCCAGATATCAGACCCCATGTACTAGACCCAAGTGTGAATCCCTTAGGCTTCGGACCTAGTTTTAGGTAATACACTGGTGATACAAATGAATGTTCTGATACGTACGTATTCAATGTTGAGTTATACATAAATTCATCCAAACACTGTAATATTTCTTGCATATGCTTCGAACATGTCAAACACTTCAAACGAATCTAATGGGCTAATATGGCTTGAAAACGCTATTTCAGCCCGACTTATCAATTATTTTGAC